ACAACCTAGGCTGTTAAGCTTAACCTCACTATCTGTCTGAATATCAAACATCTTAGGCATAATAAGGAACAGGTATTTTTCATCAAGTATTCATGTGTTGAACTTTAAGTTCGTACAGAATATGATGAAAAAACATTTAAAAAAATAAAATATATTTTAAAAATAGGCATAAAGAATTACATAATTCTTGGGGCCAGGGAGATGGCTCAGTAGAATAAGTGCTTCCTTGGTAAGTGCAAAGGCCTGAGTTCAATCCTCAGTTCCGCAAAAAAAAGAATTATATAATTCTTATGTTTACACATAAGTCCAGAAATCTAACCATATATAGCCTTATAGCAGGACAGACCCAAAACATTCCTTTTCCTGTCTCCTGCCTTCATTCACCACACTCTTCTTTTTGAGCAATCATCTACCCGAGAGACAGCACGGCAGCAACTGGCATGTCATGATAAGCAGCACATATTCAGAAGACCAGAATGACAGGTACTCCAAGCATGAACCTACCTTTACAAATTGCCATCTTCAGTGCAGTTGCTTAGTTCACAGGTGTCTGTATATATAGTTCGTCAGGGTGAGAATCATTCCAATTAATTGCAAGATTCAAAAATCTTCTGAAGATTCTTAGGATCATTTCCTTACCCATCTTCTACATATAACAGTATAACTTGCCCCTATCATGTTTCCTAGCTCTTCTCCTTGCTCTCTTTACATTGTCTAGTCTTCAAGTTCTTGCTTTCCTTATAGTTGTATTACACCTTTGTATTTGTATTTCTTCTTTTGAGTTCTTATACTAGGGAAACTATATGATATTTACACATGTGTGTCTGGTTTATTTCACTTATGAGTATATCTTCAAGTGGCATCCACTTCAATATAAAGACTTCGAGTTTATCATTCCTTATAGCTCTTTGCCTACCCCTATGTCTTCAAGATTTCATCCTACTTTCTCTTCCAGGAGATTTAGTGTTTATGTTTTAATGTTTAGATCTTTAATCCATTTTGACTTTAGCTTAGTGCATGGTGATAGACCTGGGTCAAGTTTTAGTTTTCCACATGTAGATTCATTACTTTACGACTTTTATCAAGTGTACTCTTGAACTAAGAGCTCCCCCAGGGGAAGAAATTTTGTCCTCTTCCTCTGGGTCTCCATTGTATAAAAATACCACATCTTTCTCATCCATTCGTCAGGTGCTGGGCATCTTGGTTGTTTCCAAGATTTGGCTATCACAAATTGTGCTGTTATAAACGTAGGCACACATATATCACTATGATATAATGTTTTCAGTTCCTCCGGGAAAATTCCCAGTAGAGTAATAGCTAGATTAAATTGGATTTCCAGTCCAAGTTTTCTAAGGAGTTTCCACACTGATTTCCATAATGGTTTCACCAGTCTACATTCCCACCAGCACTGGGGAAGAGTTCTTCTTTCCCCATATCCTCTCCAACATTTGTTGTTGGTTGGTTTCTTTATGATAGCCATCCTTTCTGGAGTAAGATGATATCTCACTGTTGTTTTAATTTGCATTTCATGAATGCCTAGTGATGTGGAGCATTTTTTTCATATATTTATTCGCTTCTTTAATTTCATCCTCTGAGAAGTGTGTGTTCATCTCAGATGCCCATTTCTGGACTGGGTCTTTAAATTTTGGGGCCCTTGTGTTTTTTAGTTCTTTATAAATTCTAGAGAGCAGACCTTTGTCTGAGTATTTATTTGTCATGATTTTTTCCAAATTTGTGAGTTGTCTTTTTACTTCGTTGTTAATTTCTTTTGATGTGCAAAAACTTCTCAATAAGAGCAGGTCCCAGTTGTTAATTCTTTCAAGTGTTTCCCGTGCCATTTGATTTTTGTTCATAAACTCTTTGCCTACCCCTATGTCTTCAAGGGTTCCTCCTACTTTCTCTTCCAGGAGATTTAGTATTTCTGTTTTAATGTTTAGATCTTTAATCCATTTTGACTTTAGCTTACTGCATGGTGATAGACCTGGGTCTAGTTTTAGTTTTCCCCATGTAGATTCATTACTTTACAACTTTTGTCAAGTGTACTAATGAACTAAGAGCTCCCCCAGGGGAAGAAATTTTGTCGTCTTCCTCTGGTCTTCATAAATAGCTATTGCATAATTTTGCATGTAGTGAGACTATAGGCAATATCGCATAAACTATTTGTTCTCCCTTCTTTTCCATCTCTTGTCAGTTCAAAATCTAGATTGTGAAATACAGAGCTGCATCTTTTGCTGTCTTTTTCCATTAGTTCTTCAAGCATATTTTTCTGGTCCTAAAATCAAGCATAGAGCACAGTCTGTCACCCTCCAGTATATCCCCATCTGTGCTGAAGAATTGATGCTTTCTTTTAGAATGTAATTTTTTTGAAGACAAGGATAAAGTTTGGTTGCTAGATATTATAATTGTTCATTAGAGATATCCATTACCACTAGTAGTAATACATTTCAATCATTTAGCCCAGTGATGGACACAAAGTTGAAATTAGGACTGTACAAATTTTTGCTATATCTATGCTCCCAAAAGGTCAAAAGAATAATCCTATGAGTCAGCTCATGAGATGATATCCTTTTGAAATTTAAATTTTCTAGATTTTTCTCATTATGTATATTTTTGACAAAGTGATGAATATTATAATTCCTGACCATTATAAATGTCACATATGCTCTTTTCTCACTTTGTTTCATGAGTTTAATTAATAGGTTGTATATTATCAGGTTTCTAATATCCAGACAATATGCTTATCTTTTTAACCTCTGTCATCTGTATGATTTCAAAAGTAAATGATTGTGTGTGTGCCTATATACAACCAGAGCTACATAGCATGGCTTAGAAAGAGTTTGAAATATTATGTTTGGACAGTAAGCTGTAACATTTAATGTTATACATTTGAAAAACAGATATAGTAGATTCAAAACAGGGAGATTCACTGAATCTAATATTACAAAGGGACTCTAGAAGGCCCTGCTTCAACTCCTCCAACCATCTCAATAAAAATTAACTTTTTTTTTTTTTTTTTTTTTTTTTTTTTGCATTTTTTTTGAACATACAAAGATATTTGTTTTGGCTTATGTTCTGGAAGTTCCAGTCTGGGCCCCATCCTTTGGCTGAGGTGGTGCATCAGGGCAGGGGCAGGTGGCCGAGCGAACACTCACCTCCTGAGACAGGAAACCAAAGAGACCGACAAAAAGAAGTTGGGGGCTCACTTCTGCAGCGCATATACTAAAACTGGAGTAATACAGAGAAGATTAGCTTGGCTTCTGCACAAAGATGACATGCAAATTCATGAAGGGTCCCACAGAAAAAGAAGGGGTTGGGATCACACTATCCTCTTAATGCAAACACCCCCAATAACAGAACCTCTCACTCAACCTTATCTCCTAAAGGTCCGCAGCAACTCCCAACAGTGATACCCTAAGGATCGATTCTCTAACTCTTGAAATTTTTTGTTCCCCTAACCATAGCAATCTTGTATCTCCTAGCAGCTTTCTATTCCCTTTCCACTCCAGGTCATTACAAATAACTTGTATCAGATTCTTTATAGTACCATTATTTTCCAGCTTTAATGATTTGGGTTTCTTCCTACCACTGAAACTACCCAAATCCACTGAGTATTTCTTGGTTTTGTTTTCCTTGATATTACTCGTACATATAACTTTTTTTTTAATGTTTTTGGTTGCTAAAGGGTCTCACTATGCAACTTAGACTCATAGTGATCCTCCTGTTTTCAGCTTTCCCAGTGTTGGGATTACAGGTGGACACCACTCCCACTCTATAGCCGGCTCAGCCCACCCTGGGGGTGTGGCTGCTGTGGCATGTGGTGCCAGGGATCGAACCACAGTCCCTGTGCTTGCCTAAGCAGGTGATTTTGTCCACTGAGCTATCTCCCCAGACCCCGTAAACACTTGATGATAACTCATTCTTGAAACTATTTCTTTTGCTTTCATAATGTTCTTTGCTTTTAGTCCTTCTCTTTTTT